CACACAGCGAGCCAGCAGAGACACACACACACACACACACACACACACACACACACACACACACACACACACACACACACACACACACACACACACACACACACACACGTCTTACCTCTGCCGCTTCTCACGGGAATTATGGATTTAATCAGCTGTTTCTGCAGTGAGGAAAGTCCCCGAGCCGCTTCACCTCCTGCTTCAGGTGTGAGACGTGAAACCGCCTCTTTCTCATGAAGAGTGGAAGTTATGTTGACTTCTTGAGGTGTGCGCATGCGCAGGCTCCCTGGTCGTTTGGTACAGTGACGTCATGAACCCTGTCGGTGTCTTCTTGTCAAAGCGACCAGCGACCTTATCTGGTTTCACTGGAGACTTTTGTGGCGTCTGACGTGAAAGCTCGTGTTGTTCTGCAGTTTCTGTCCTCAGAGTCTCACAGGAAGTCCGCATCTGGCCGAGAACGGTCATACTACCCGGATGTGACTCGCCCCGCCCATTTCACCCACAACGCATCGCGGCAGGCTTGTCCGCTCTTGTAAACGCGACAAATATCCCAGAATGCATTTCACCTCAGCAACAGGCAGCGACGCCAGAGGGAAATAATACAACGTTATATTTGATCCACGTGATGTGACTTTGGGACTTTTCAGGCAGCGAGTCAGTTGTTTGAGCGACTCGTCTGTAGTCAGTTTGTCCACATTGAGAACTATGACCTCCAGCAGGTGGGAGATGTGACGCGCGGCTCCAGACGGACCGTCTACCAGCTTACTGGTGCGTCTTCATTCAGCCGCACACACGTTCTCCCTCGCGCCGCCTTTAACGCCACAATTTCACGGTCATTTGTTGATCACGCGCGATATTCATTCATATATATATACTATGTAAATCATTTAAAACAAGCATGAGGTGTCGGTGAATAATACAGGTTATAGTTGAAGCACAATTATACTGTATATTAAAAACTAATGAAAAATGTTTAAAGTGCTTCACTGCTGCCAAAGTAAAACATTTTACCCAAATGACACATTTCAAGGTGCTTCCCTGAGCTGAGAGCTAACATCTCATGTCTTACTGCAGGTCCCCCCTTGCTGTCTGGGTTCAATGTGTCGGCTATTAACACAATAAATTGGGCGCGTGCAACGTCACTGCTGTGCGTCGGTTTTTCTTCATGAGAACTATTTCTGGTCTAAACTGTGATTGAGCTGTTGAGGGTGAATGAATGCATGTAGTTCTATTTGTTCAGCCTTATATGTCATTGAGTCACGTGTGACTGAACTTTACCACTAAAATAAACCTCGTGTTTGGGCCCATTGACCCGAGTCGGATGGTTCCCCGCGTTTCTGCACAGACCGACGTAAGTGAAGGCCGTCACGTAGCAGAGCCGTTTCCGTGGCCTCGTGTGGAGGACGGTGCAGACCGTATGGGTGCAGCTACCTACGTCACAACGCTGGACCTGCTGAAGGGACACTGGCAGGTCCCTCTTACGTCCAGAGCTTCTGACGTCTCTGCTTCTGTCCCACCTGATGGCTTTTGGCTGCGCAATGCCTCAGACACTTTTCAGAGACTCATGAACCTGCTACTGGCTCGGGCGGCCAAAACTGCTCAAACACGACATAGAAACACATATTCTAATATATTCAAATATCTGGTTGAGCATCAGACACGTCAATAACTGGACACATTAAAACAACGGGACACAACTACTTGTAAAGGTCATTTAAGTTGAAACATACTACCTACACAAAAATAAGTGAATGAACTGAAGACCGCAGATCTCTCACAAACGCGCTGATCAAGAGTCGTGATTCTTGTCCCTCATGCGTCAGGCTTCATTCAGTGATTGAAACTGAAGGTTTCACAATACCCACATTAGGGCTGCAACTAACGATTATTTTGGTAATCGACTATTTTTCCGATTAATCGACTAATCTAATGATTATTTCCCCCCCCAAAAAATATTGACTTCAATGTAGAAATTTGAATTCAAATGTATTTGAGTAACAAGTTGTGTAAACATCATTATAAATAAACAAAATAGTAATACAAATTAAAGTGCAAATATGCTTTTAAAAGTAAAGTGCAAATAAAGTTTTAAAAGTAACTCAAAATAACAATCAAGCCTCTGCAAGTGCAAAATAACTCTAACATTCAAAGTCCAAAACTAAAAAAAATAGTCCATCCTTCCCGACAATTAAAGTGCAAGTAAGGGTTTAAAAGTAAATCCAAATGACTTCAGGGGAACACACCATTCATACACGTTTCAAATTGCAATGTAAACAGGTGAGCATATTGAGATGCTCTGGACTGAGGCTGGCTCTCTTCTTGGAGGCGATGTTCCCAGCTGCTGAGAAGAGCCGCTCAGAGGGAGTAGACGTAGCTGGAATGCACAAGAATGATTTGGCTAGTGATGCCAGAGCTGGAAACCTTGCCTCATTCTCCCCCCTCCACCCTGGCTTGACTGCCACACCCTCCTCCAGCCACTGAACATTTGAATGTTATTGCATATCCATTTCTTACTGTTCATTATGCATAACTATTTCTTACTGTACATATCTATCTATTCACTTATTACACTTTACATATGCACACACTCTGAACTTTTTGCTACTTTGCACTTCTGGTTGGATGTTAAACTGCATTTTGTTGCCTCGGTACTTGTACCCTGTGCAATGACAATAAAGTTGAATCTAATCTAATCTCATTCGACTTCCACCAAGACAGGGGACTTTGTGTCTTTGACAGAGGCTGCTCTCCAAAATACATCAGCACCTCATCACGGATCTTTTGGTTGTGCGCGTCCTCTTCACTGTCGTCATTGTCACTGTCTGTGGAGTCTGATCCAAGCAGTGAATCCAGTACTGAAACAGTCCTCCTATTTGGAGATCCCTTTTCAGCTGATGCTGTGGCATCTTGGTTCCCAGTACTCCTATCCATGTTCTGTAGTGCCAGAGCTTGTACCTTGTTTTGAACACTGAACCTCTCCTCTGGTGTCAGGAATTTCAGTTGTAGAAATCGTGGGTCAAGTGCGGCTGCAATGATCTGTTTGCTCTGTTTGTCATCGGTGAAGGTGACCTCTCCTGACCACTGTGCAGTGGTTTCCTTTGAAGCAGCTGCCTGGAAGGCCTGCACAGGTCTCATAAGAAGTGTGGGTGGACTTCAGAAGCCCTTTGACCAGAGGAGGCAGTGCAGAGACTGTCACATAACTCTCACCACTCAAGTACACAGTGGCACATTCAAAGGCCTGGAGAGCTTGGGCCAGTTCTTCGAGAAGGGTCCGCTGATCGCTTTTGAGGTCCAGGTATTGTTTCCCTCTCTGTGTTGCCGGGTCAGAAAGGGCTGCAGTGACTGGCCACCTCTGTTCCAGTAGGCGACTAATCATGTGATAGGTGCTGTTCCACCTGGTACTGACATCTTGGACAAGTTTGTGTTCAGGAGTCCCCATTTGTTTTTGCTTCAATTTTAGGTTGCTTGCAGCCAGTTCACTTCTTTTAAAGTGCTCAACGAGACTTCTTGAAGCTCCAAGTGCTTTGCTGATCTGTGGGTTTTTCAGCGCATGATTTATTACTAATTGCAAAGTGTGGCCTGCGCAGCAGACAGACACCCACCCATTTTTTTCTTGCAAGATGTTTGCAGCCAGCGCAACATTGGAGCCATTGTCGTGAACTACCGCCACGATTTTGCTTGTAGGGATCTCAAATCTTTCCACAGCCTGCTCAACCCATGCAGCAATGTTGGGTCCAGTGTGCCTCTCTTCAAGTGGCATGGTGGTGAGGCAGAAGCTAGTGAGCTCCCAGCCATCACTTATAAAGTGACATGCGATGCCAAGATATGCCTCTGTGGCAACACTGGTCCAAGCATCAGTTGTGAGGGCAATCTTGTTCTCAGTTGCTTTCAGAGCCTCTTTAACCTTGGCAAGTGAAGTTTCATACTTTGCTCCATGAGCTTTGTAAAATGAGTTCTGGAAGGTAAGGTGTAACCTGGATGAAATGTGTTGACCATCTGCATAAAGCCCTCATCCTCTACCATTGATAGAGGTCTCATGTCATTGACAAGCATGTTGAGGATGCTCTCCGTCAAGACTCCTGCCATCTGAGGGGCGCATGAGCGCCTCTTCAGGACAAACTCGTCCACGCGCCTTTGCTTAGTGCTAAAAGAGAAAGAGAAACCCCCACAAAGCTTTAGTTATCACGTTGTAGGATATAGTATCACAGTTTTGTATAATGCTAGAGTAGATCTCTCGTAATTGTGTTAAATTACTATTTTTCCACAATATTTAGTTTGAAGAATGCTAAGTGGAGGAGGTTAACTCTTCAGAACGAACGAGGCTACTGTGATAATTCACTACATGGCACGTAACATAACTGAAGTCGCGTTAGCAAGCATCCTCCATGAGACGATCTGTTTTCCAACATGTAAGCGTGAACCTTACGAGAAGTTAATAAGGCTAACGTTACTTAGGCAGTTAACTTACCCATCAGCAGGAGAAGACGTGGTGGCTCCAGTAGGCCTCCGTTTCAAATGCTCATGCGTTGCCGTGGTGCAGAAATGAAATGCTAATTTCATTTTGCAGATTTTTACTCAAATACTTTTTTATTTTGTTTGCTGGTAAAATATTCCCAGACTTTTGAAGCTCTCGGTCGATCTCTGTTCCGCCGTGATTCAAAATCGTTCTTCTTCTTTGCCTTGGTGTAAGTATGTCTACGCCTTGGTGCATATAGACAATGTAAGCCATACTGCCCCCTGCACTTCCGGTAGTGCATTGCAATGCTGAATGAAAATGGCCGGCAGCTCTGACATAAAATATATGACGCGCTGACGTTAAAAATCCACGTCGACAATTTTTCACAATCGACGTAGTCGATTTAGTCGACTATTCATTGCAGCTCTAAAGTGCACATACAAAGTGTTATCTTGATGGACAGTGTCCTTAGACCAACCCAAACACAGTGTCCTACACGTAGCAGCACAAAGGTCCATTTCAGAGTGGCAGTAGTCTTTGTACTGGAAGCTTCAGCTGGTGGAAGCAGGTGGAGGAAGTGGAGAAGTTGCTCTCCACCACGCTGATATCCAGCTGGTGTCTGGGGAGCACATTCCATCCTATCCACAACTGTAGGAGTTTCCCAAGGATGCTGACAGATGCTAAACAGAAAAGACAATATTTACTTTACTGCAGAGAAGGACTTTAATTGGGGAAAAAGGTTCATTTCTGCTTTGAGATGTTCAGACTTCATAGTTAAAAAGAAAAGTAGAGTATCCGCTAAATAACCTATGGAGACCTTTCAAAAGGTTCTATTCATTTACATTCTCAATAAATGAGCGAAGGAATCCTGTGGTCCGACATGTATCCTCCAAAGAGACGTCACTGTCTTCGTCGTCATCCTGTGTTGGACACTTTATCTTCTCCAAGACCATCTGACAGATTGATTTTATACTAAGAGTTGACACTTGTTTCCAAACAAGAGAATTGAAAGCACAATATAACAGCGGAAAGGTAATTGAGACATTTTCAATTATAATAATACAACTTTTATTCAATTAGGACATTGTTGTTATTTTAAAGAAGCATAGTGGAGTCGTCGTGGCGCAGGGGGGTAGAGCGGGTGTGCTGGGAACCGCAAGGTTGGTGGTTCGAGTCCCGGCTGCCCCATTACTGAAAAGACTCTCCGACCCAGGACTTGACTTTCAACTTTGGCAACTCCGTGTTAACGCCCACTTTGACTGCAGGAACCTCGGCGTGACACTCGACAGCCGACTCTCCCTGACTCCCAAGATCACTGACAACACCATCCTGTAGATACGCTCTACAACATCAGGAGAACACGTCCTCTTCTCACTCAGAAGGTACTGATTCAGGCTCTTGTCATCTCCCTCCTGGACTACTGTAACTCTCTCCTGCAGGTCTCCTGCTACCACCATTCCACCTCTGCAGCTCATCCACAATGCAGCAGCTCCACTGCTCTTTAACCTTCCTAAGTTCTCCCTCACTCCTCCACTCCTCCGCTCTCTTCACTGGTACCAGTGGCCCATCCAGTTCTAAACATAGTGCTCACGTACCGTGCTGTGAATGGATGGAGTCCAGCTTACATCCAGGACCTGGTCCAACCCGACATCCCGACCCGCACTCTCCGCTCTGCATGTGATAAAC